ATTTCATACACAAATAGTCTATAAGGTTCTTTATATACTTAACGTTTGTGCATACAGTTTGTTCAGGTATACAAGGTTTCTGCATATTTTGTGCCATATTTGCTTTATGTGCCATATTTCCATATAGAATGTTTTGCTTTAGATATGAAGATTATAAGTTTGGGATACAATTAAGAATAAATTACTGATTGGAAAAAAAATTATCCTAATTAATTTCAGTTTTTTCTTTTCTTTTTTTTCCATAGAATGCCTTCGATCTTGGGTTAAATTATATTTTAAACTTTTCAACATACAAAATATTTATAATATGAGAATTTAAAAGTACAAACTAATGAAGGATTTTTATTTTGTTTTCTTATACAATATGAAAGTTTCAGATTAAAAAGAAATTTTAAAGGATCTATAGAAATTTTGGAGTTTATTAAAAGTTTTTGAATGAAATTTATTAAAAAATTAAAACTTACCTGAATATAGAAGAAGGCTTATGAAGGTCTTTGGAAGTTATAGGAATAGATTTTTAAATTTTTGAAAAAAAAAAACATCATCAATATCAAAATGTAAAATGAGAATATGAAAGAAAAGGGTTAAAAAAATATTGAGAAATGATATTTGAATTAAAAAAAGTTAGTAGTTTGGAATAAATGCAAAATTTGGAATAATCTCTGGATCTGTTTTGGAACATAAGAAGTTTCTATTCATATTATTTATTGTTCTATATGAAATTCATCAGGAGTGTAGAATTTTATATTATTTTAAAGTTACTTAATTATTTTATGTGGTAAAACTTTAATTAGTTCTAAAATTAAGGTAATATTACTAAGATATTAAAGGAAATCTCGGGTATGATCGACACTCAACCCCTTACAATGTGCATTTGAATAAGTTACCCACCAATTGAAATAAGATTCAGATGAGACACTTAGGCTTAATTTTAGAGCCCGATTTGAGTTATAAGAATATGCGTTGATTATCGTCTTATAGATATATTTAAAAAAACAAAAGTTAATAAATATAATTAGGGTTTGATTTATAGTTGATAAATTCACTTAAACTGAATTAAGAGCTGATAAAATCAGCGAACTTAGATCCGAAACTTGTGTACTATCACAAGTGTACTAACACGTTATATCTGAGCACCTTATAGATTGTTACTTACATTGACTCACAGTTTTGTGGACTATATTTACTTCTTAAACAATTGGAATTTATAAATTTTATTTAAACAGTAATATTACATTAAAATTAATTTTATGAACGAATTTAAGTTTAACTATCCATAATGAGCGTAAATTTAAATATTTTTCATCATTATTTGAACTAAATATTTCTCTATTTAAATATACATGCATATTCAATGCAGAATGAACCCCCATATTGTCCTTATTTTTATACAGTGTCATTATATTGAATTGAAACATAAAATTTAATTGAATATAAACTCAATATAAACTCAATTTCAATATCTTCATTATTAAAAAAAAACCATATTTAAATTTTCCTTATAATATTTGCTACATTATTGAGCTCTAAACCCTCATAACATTGTATGAGGATACTAAAAATATAATTTCAATTTATGACGATAATAAAAGTATATCAGTGTCTAATGAAATTATAAAAGGCCAGTGGATTGTACGATTATGTTATGTTCTCATAATTAAAATTAATTATAATAATATTCCTAATTTTGAAGAAGGGATGAGTTTTTAAAAAAAGCAAAAGAATTAGTTTTCCTCTTTTCTCTTTTTACAAAATTCGATGTTCTTTTCTACATATGTTCTCTCTGTGAACAATAAAATAGAAAGAAATTAAGACGGTTGTAAATTCGTAAAGAAAAAAAATATGTTTTACTTCTTACAAAAATCTGAAGTTTTCCGTCTTGTAGATCAAAAAGTTGCGTCTCTCATACTACATACTTCTTTGGAAAATGAGCCAATATATTATACTCAACTCGAAAATCTTAGATTTTCGCAGAATTTCGACCAATACGGCAAATATTCGATGAAATATCTTCTTTTTTTATTCTGGAATGTTTTCTTATTTGGAGACACCATATATACATGTAATCCCTGTTCCTCAAAATTAATATTAAATTATAAAGAAAATTTAAAATCGTTTTTAAAATTTGCATAAAATTTCATTATAAAATTACAATCTCATTTTACAAGATTGTTTTCTAAAAATATTCTATACACAATAATTATTATTACATCCAGTCCATGTGCAGTTTGTGTATAAAGATGTAGCACATACATAGGTGGGCCTACCAATGCCATATACCCGATTAAAAATATTCATCTTTATACTTTAATACCCAAATGACATAATCGGATCATTCGAAATTCTATATAACATTTTCTTAGTTTCATGATTCCCAGGTACACATATGTATAAATAAACACATAAACGAAGATATTCCATCAATTTATGAATATTGAGTTAGTAAAATTTTATTATTTTAGAATCTTATAAATTTAGCAACCACCTACTTTACTCATTACATATATTTAGGTACAAATCTTCTGTATATTTATTGAATAGGAAATTTCTGCTTAAATGCATTAAAATCTTCTATATCTAAACCTGCATATACAGGATGGCCCGGTTCTAGTTTAAACGCTAGCACTTTTGAGATGATTAATGTTTTTTGAAAAATTTTCAAATTTTTAGCTTACGATTTTATGTTTCAATGTCTATAACTCAAAAACCTTTAGTTTAACACCAACAATCGGTACATTATTATGTAGATCTGTCAACTAAGAAAAAACTTTCCAAAAACTCAATGTTGTAGTTTTAACATTTTCGAAGCTGTAATGGATATTCGTGAGATATAATTTAGTTTCTCAACACGATTTTCTTAAGCATTCCAAAACTCCCACTAGACGTCCGAGTTTCTTTTCCTACCATTCATTCATACAATGCTTTTCCTAAAGAACTTCAAGAAATCAATCTCCGTGCGCGTTTCTACCAGAACTGGACCGTCGGAATATTATTGTCTAGATCTGTCAATTTGGAAAAGTCTGTTAATTAACAGCTTCGAAAATGGGATAGGTATTCGAGATACTCGGATACTCGTGATTCCCCAAAACTACCCATAAACGTCAGAGTTCCTTCTTCGTATCCTCAACCTATACGATTTTGTTCCTAAAGAACTCCAAGGAATCACCATAAGAGCGCGTTCTTACCAGAACTGGACCACCGAGTATGTTATTGTGAGATCTCTATTTAATGCTCACATTATGAATTTATTATAATTGCATTATTAAAATGTCAATGTTTTTAAGTTCAAATAATATTATAATTGATAATATGATTATAAATTGTACATTACATACCCTTATACGTCATATTTACACACATATGTAAATGGTGTTATTAATTTATGGAAATGTTATTCAAATAAATATCTTTACATAATAATATATCTAAGATTTCTCTTGTTGATCATCATATATAATGTGCACGTACCGGTATAATGGAGTTTTAATTATAAAATATTTTATTCTAATGGAATGATAATGATAATACGGTAGGTATAGAAAGTTATTTTGAATTGTTTTTGTGTAGGATTAAATTTCCAAATTATAAATTTGTACATTGAGGTTTTCATATACTAACTAACTATACATAATTTTGATTTAGAATTACATTAATATATTTTTTGATTTCTTTTGTAATTTGTATTTGTTAAATTTGATGAAGAAGATGTATGGGAATCGATGGGTTGTTAACCAGATGTCTTAAATTTTATTGTAATTATTAAATTTTTAAATCAAAATTTTAAAAAATTACTGGAAAATCTCTATGATATTTTGGTATATAACATCTACCAGAAGGCAGGCACAATAGGTCCTTATATACTGGTTGCGGTTTATTGTTATCCCATCTGTACAATCTACAACCTACCAGAGAATTTTATCTATTTGAGGCCCTTCCGCAAATCATTAGCATTGGCAACGATTTTGATGTTAGATTTATATAAGATCTGGTACATAACATTCCTTCGCATAGAATTTCAGATAAAAACAGTTTTGATTTTAAAAGATTATTCGCCATCTGGTCATTTTTCGATCACAAGGTGAGGATTATAAAAAATTAAACTGCCGTTTTTGCTATTCAGAAGTTTGAAAAATTTCTTTCAGATAATAAATTGACAACAGGTGCTGTCCATGAACATATATTCAACGGATAATCAGGTGATTATTGTAGCGACTGACTTTTATCAATTCTTTGTATCACAAACGTGTGTGGTCATTTTTTAAAGATTGGACACTTTCGCACGGAACAAGACCTATATAAGTGTTTCTGTGGTGTCCATGAAAAAAGATAAAGGAAAGGTTTGGACTCAATAAACTGCGTGAGGGTTTAATTGCTCGAGCATCAAAGCAGTTAAGAATAAGCGTGTATTATCATTTCTTTTTACATATTTTCAATCAAATGTCAATGGTTACAGTTCAAGTAACATAAGGTTAGCCTAGGTACAAGGTCTTATACACTATTTGATAACATACTGACTTTTCGATTCATCAGTTGACCATTCAATGCGATATTAAGTTTTTTACACGAAAGTGCAAACGAACTTTGTTTTAATTAAAATTGAACTTCCTCTTTTCTTTATTTTTGCTTGATATTTCTTCCATTTATTCTTTTTTTCTTAAAAATTTACTTTTATCTTCATTTTACATACATACAAACATTTTGTTATGTACAACTACTTTTTCTACAGTAAGTAATTATAAGCACTCCCCGATTTTTAATACACAATATAGGTTTGTAGTTGAAAAATAAAATTTGTACATTTTTTAACTTCCGGAACATTAGTGTTGTCTACCCAAAGTTTATGAAGTTAATTTTTTGACTCTCAATTTTAAAGTAATCAAAAATTCATGATCATAAAAGTGAAATGGATTTTTTTCTGCTAGAAAATATACAATATGTACTTATATACTTTTTTTTCAACTAATTTGTTACATACTTATAGAAATTAGGTGCACGAGTACTTAAGTTTCAGCATCCGATTCATCGGAATCATCTTCAAATATATGAAAGAATGGTTTTAAGAACATATAAAATCCAAATTCAAAAATGCTCATTAGATTAATGTTCGACAATAGACCAACGATTCCACCTAAGGTAGCTATAAAAATTATTTCAATTATTATTTCACCGTCATCATAAGTGAATGTCATCAGAAATGTGGTACATTTTGTGAGCTGTTACCGTTGTAAACTGTAAAATTTGATTAATCATATCAAGTAACGTACCTAGAGTAGAAATCCAATCTTGGAATAAGTCCATAATATAAAGATTTGTGTATAAATCACCATAAAATACATGTAAGATCACATAATTTCCTTTTGTCCTATTCTTACTACAAAATATATTAAAATATTCACCATATGAGAAAATTAATATTAACCCTCATTCACTTATACTTACAACATTAACCGATTCGATATTGAATATGATGTATTCAAACGACTTGAACTCAAATCAACTTGATAAACATTAAATTCGCAATTTGGTAGGCAATGATCACAATTTCTATTAATTGTTTCATTATTTTCCAATGTAATCTGACTTAGAGTTAAAAAGCTATCCGTGATCCTTTCTTTTTTTTAGGAAAACAAATAAAAATATCTATTTTTAATTAAAATTTTAATTTAAACTTACTCCGATACTTCATAATACATGGTGTCTGAGGAAAACTACAAATTCTAGATGTTGAATTACTTGCATAACGTAATGGAATACAACCACATATTCTATACATAATAGATGCACGGCATTCAGCAACACAATTTATAAAACTATAATTTGAGAAGAAATCTAATTTAAACTCATCACGGAAATAACAGTTCCTCTGGGAAATTGGTAATTTTCGGATTGCTTGTGTTGTTTTTACTTGTTCCGGTACAACTCTAATGAAACATTCTTGATTTGAGCTAAGCATTTTTATTTCAGCATTTTCATCAGCATAATCATAAGCATCATGTAAAAATAAACGAAAACCATAGCTACTTAAATATGATGCCATATAATCATCTATTTGTGAATCCAATAAAACAGTTAAACCAGCTTTATAGTGCGAACCAGAAATCTTATGTGGTATATTTTGTATTTGAGCTTTAATATTCCTTAAATCCATGAAAATAACAAATTATGCTTCATAATGAAAATTTAAGAATATTTTATTTTTTGAACTTTACTTACGCTGGAAAATTATTTTCTGGTTCAGCATAATAATTAAAGGAGCAACATATTCCCTCTGATGTATTGATTTTTTGAAAATAAGATGGACACAATCTTACTTCACCTTTCCATTTACAAAATAAAATCATTTCATTACAATCTGGTGCAATTGATCTTTTGATTTCGGAAACTGTAATATTATTGAAGGTCATCAAGGCTGTCAATTTGTCGAACTCATCCATATAGAAATCAGATGTTGTGTAGTACAAAACTTTTCGTATTTGATCAATAATTTCATCATTCGGAATTGTGGTATTATTAGGGTGAACACTTCAAAATATCGGACACAAAATCAAATATTTTTTTATTTAAAGAAATTTAATAAAGTTTGATGTGGTTTCTGAAGGTAACGCAGAAATATAAGAGGAAAACAATGGTTGTTCCTGTAAAATATTATTTATACTCACATTTTCTCTAAAAATTTATCCATTCTATTTTTAGATATTAAATTTAAACTGCATATTGTTACAGCTGGAAATGGAATATTCCATACTGGATAATTTGGTTTTGATATTACAGTTATCGTAGGTGTGCTTGTATCCCATGTATACGCCAACTAAGTTTGATATAAAATTCTAGGTCTGATTCAAAGTTTGAACACAATTTAAATACTTAAATCCGAGTATAGACCAATTTGATGTAATTTTTATGAGAGAAATCAAATGCTTTATACTTTTTTTATTATTGCCGAAGAGAGGCATAGGCAAAGGAATTCTTTCCCTCCAGCCACCGCAGCCAGTCATACCTTATTAAAACCCTCCCATATCCCACTTAAACTACCAAGGTTCCAAGCAAATACTCGGAGATATCACTCAGGGAGTTCTTCCACATCAAGAAAGCCCCGCCGAGACCATCTGTTCCTCCTGATAGTCAAAGCAGGACAGTCTTATAGTTAAATTTTTCAATTTTCCTTGTCTAATTTTTATTGTACAGGCAAATTTAGCAAATTTGGAAATTCTCTCAGAAAATCACACCAAATTTCTACTAGTTAAGCTTGTTCACTCAAAATAATAGCGAAAATTAATTACATAAAGTAATACGATAGTAATAATAATTATCGTAATAATTACTGTTGCCCAACCATATTTCTCTTCTTTCGAATTCTCTAATTTTACAATATAATTGAATCCTTGTAATTGAGTTTTACGACAAAATATACGAAAATTTTTTATAATCCATGAACTCCATGACAATTTTTTATGTATAATTTGTTTATTTTTTTTATTTAAATTATTTTGTTTTTCTGCTTTCAAATTATTTTCAATAATAAATATTGGAATAGTTGGTGTCTTCATATTATTTCATTCTAATATTGTTGTTAACAACTCTAATTTGAATAGCTTACTGAATATTATTAGTTGAGCTCAATAATTTTTATATTGAGTTCCTAAAATTTGTTGTCCGATATAAGTGGGTTATTATTAATATAACATGCCCCCAAAATAATTAAAATGTTTTGAGTTAATTGAGTTATTATTGAAAACGATATTCTTAAATGTTTAATTATTATCTTTAGACGTCTGACTTTACATTGAATATCCTGCTATACCTTAACCTTGAATGTTTAAAATAGGTACATTTGAATATAATAATAATTATGTACTATGTTAGTTTTTGTTGTAATTAAAGGTTTATAAATATATATGTATGAACTTGAGAATTCCGTTTGTGTTTGTCAGAAGTTTATTACAGTTATTAAAGTCATTATTGGTTTAAATATAGAATTGGAATTGTTTTACTCCTTATTGAACTTCAAAATCTTCAAATCCTTATTGTACTTTTTTTACATTCACATTTATTGTTTACATTTTGATGTCAAAAAATTTAAAAAAGAAATTACGTATGTATTTTGTAATCTCGTCTGCTTGCTTCATATGTTAATTGCAATTTTCTATAAAATTTTAAAAAATTGCATACGAGAAGGCGTGTAGTAAAAATTGCGCTTGAAAATAAGATATAAGACTGGATATCCCAACATTTTGCATCAGTTCTTATATGTGCATATTTTGTAACCGTAGGCATAGGGTAAATAATTTATTTCAGATCCTATAAGTTTTAGTGGTGTGACGGCGATATACACGGAATGCTGGCCATTGAAATAGCATGTTGACATTTTTGCAGTATCTCTGCGCCTGTTCAGTTGTAGACGGCATTAGACCGACATGTGACCGGCTAAGCGCGGCGGAGCTAGTCGAGGTATAGGAAACAAATTCCTAAAAGCAACCGAGTGGCTTGTATAGGTGAGCAGTTATCGAATGTTATATGACACCCTATAGGTCGCGGGGTGGTTATAGGAAAAAAGGCAGATTTCTTCAGTTTACCATTAATTTCACCTAAGCCTATTGTGTTTTTGTGCCTCTTGAGTCTGACATTTTATTATCTAATCCAAGCTAACTGAAATTAATTTTCTTGTAGGTCTAATTTACCAATTTGAAATTCTCGTATCATCTTGTAATATGGTCTAAAACACATTCGTAAATTATATTGTACTTTAATATTTTTCCCATTAAATGGGCCAAAATTTAAAATAACATCTAAATTTAATTTTGTATATTTACTTAATTATTTAACCACAAATCAAAAAATAACTAAATTATATTATTTGTATGGCTTGTACACCACCAAAAAATTGTTATTTATTTCATTATAATTGCACATATGTGAATACATATTATTATTAGGTATGTATCCACACATATAATGGACATTTTGTGAAATTACGATATTTAAAATTTTAATTATAAAATTTGCCATATTAAAAAATTGAAAAATCAATCATTGTTAAAATAAATTAAAAAAACACAAAGCAGAGCAAGACAATGGGTATGTGAACACGGTCTGTCTCTCATATATCAACCTGCACCGGCACAAATGTATTATTATGTATGTAGATATTGATTTATATAAAATCTATAACAATTTTACTCTTTGTATACTGCCACTATATATTACATTGCCACTACAAATTTCAACAAGCACATGCACATACACACATAAATAATGAACTAAAAATGAAGTTAACATGATAATATCAAAAATTCCTAATGGGATTCATTAATTTTGAAATTGATGATCATTAGAGTCTAACCGCTTTATAGTGTTGTGACATACCCGCCAAATAAATTTCTTTCGATATAATTTTTTTGTTTATTTACACTCTGAGCAGTTTATATACACAATATATTGCCTGACATTATTTACTTGTGTTGACATTTCAATTTCCCTCTTTTAAATATAGCGGTATAATCTCGTTTTTTTTTTCCTCGTGTTTGTTCTCCCTTGTGGTTTTTTATAACAATATTCAATATAGATTTAAAACTTACCTACATACACCTTGTCAATATTTTATATATATATGAAGGTAACTTGGATGAAAACGGTATGTTGTGTATAATAAACGATATTTTATGTTCTCAGTTACCTCTGTTGTTATATTGAATTGAACCTATTAAGTCAACGATTCAGACTACATTGTTTTATTTCTTTTTTTGCAATTCTAGGCTTTTATATAGGAATATGCAAAAAAAAAGGTAACTGATTTTTAAATAGATCAACCAACCTTATTGTGTAGGTGTACACTGAACATTATTCTGATGGTGTTTAAAAATAAAACAATAGAAAGAAAAAAAATATGGAATGAATACATGGCAATGACAGCTGATTTGTTATTTTGTGGCATCAGTGAAACATTCATGTTTCCCTTGTGATATGGTGTTACCGCGTAATTTGATTGCACGAAAACCCACAAATATGGAACATTTCTTTTCCCACAAATTATACAAAACCAAAATATAAAAATAAGTTTGCTTGTTTTTATTTTTGTTTTTTTTCTTATTTTTAACTATGTAGCTAATTTTTATTCATATAAATTAAAAACAAATGCGTTGTACATTATTAACTCACCATTAAGTTAAACTTTAACATATTGTGTTCAACATTAGGTTCGTGGATTCAAAACACAATAAGAATTCATTATTTATCGAAGTAGACATGATTGCTATCGAAAATTATTGTGGTGAATATCTAAAAAAAATGTGTTGAATAAAATTTTTGTGGTGAATTTTTGCAAACATTTTTTTTGCTGAAATCTTTATAAAGAATGAATTTTAATTGAATGTGGTGAATATTGAAGCTGTGGTGAATTTTGCTCAATTACTGTGGTGAATTGAATTTTCGTGGTGAATTTTTATTTCTTCAATTTTCATTCATATTAAACGACAATTGAACAAGTTTTTATTCATTCATATCCTATGAGATTCAAGAACATTCTATTTATAGCACAAATTACAAATTTTAACCCTTTTTGTTATTTTTTCTGTATACATATAACAGTTTTAGTTTTGTTATTTTTTTTTTCTTGTCAAATTCACAATATGTGGTTTAATTTTTTTTTATATTATAAAAATTCCCTTGTTTTGTTTATTATTATACAGAATAGTTTAAATCATTTGATAATGAGAATGGTCTAGTTTAGTTAGTTTATAAGGTAATTTTATTGTGATTTATAATTGTTCGATGGTAATAAATTTTTTATATACTAAATCGATTGTCAACTAAAAAAAAATTCCTCTACATCACGTAAATAATTTTCAAGTTTGATTTTATGTTTGTGTAAATGTAATGAGAAATATTTTTATATAGAAAAATTTATTTTATATTTTATACAAAATGTTTTTATATTTAGGCTAATTATAATTTTATTCCATCAAGTTCATTGATATACCAATTCTATATACTTAGAATGTATTGCCTTTCAAACAAATTATTTTAGTTTTTGGGAGGCAAATTGAAAATAAGTAAAATTGTACAAATAAACTCTGTAAATTTCTTTTGAAATTGTAAATATTTTATTTTGTAATTTCAACTAAATAAACAGTTCTACTCTGTTTACCATTATCTTAAATTTGAAGTTGATAATTTCAACTGTATTTGAAAATTTTATTTACAATTTTTTTTAGAATACTCAGAAATGCTATTCGTTGTAAATAAATATAGAAATGAAGTCAAAAATGAAGTTGGCTACTTGTTTTTTCAGCAATATTTTAGGTTTTCTATAAATGCTTACAAAAGGATAAATTAAATGAATGGCGCCCCACATGTACGCATACACATACCATGCAAATGTTCACACAATAATATTTTTTAACATTCCCATCGGTTTATTGATTTTATTTTGTGTTTTGTTCATAATTCTTGCTATTTTTTAGGAAAAAGCAAAAAAAAATGTTTAACCAATTGGAGGCTATAATTAATCCCAATTAAATGTAACAGTAGGTATAATAAATAAAATGTTGATTTTTTGTTGCTTTGCGGTTCTAAAGTATTCGAAAACCCTAGTGTTTTTTCCTTATTTTGTTTTTAATTTGTTGGTGTGTATCGATATTTAATATATAGTTTTTTATATATGTATATTTGTGAGTATAACAGTATTGTTTAAAAACTAGTAAAAATTTTCATCAATTTTTAATTCTTTGTTTTCCAGTGCGTATAACATTTTATTTAATTTGTAATTGAGATTTTTGTTTGATGGTACCCAAACGTTTTGTATTGTGAAATTTAAATGAATTAGAATATTGTATATGGTTGCACTTTATTTATGTAGGTATAAGTATATAGGAAAAGTATTATTGTACTCATTTTGCTAATGAATATCGAATGTATATGCAAAGGTAGAATACGATTTATTTTTGGTTCATTGTTGTTAGTGAAAATTTATGTTTATATATTTTAGAGCATATACGTTTGGGTATTCTAATGTACATACATGTGCATAAAACAAACAATTTTTCGACAATTTGTTCTATAAAAATATTGTCTTGCGTGATATTTTGTATAAGGGTGGTTTCAATGTACATATATAAATTGATTTTTTTTCTTTAAATTGTTTAATTCTTTCGAAAATAAAATTCTAACAATTTTTTTCAATTTGAAGACAACGTATTGCAACGGTTTTAAGAATTGGTATAGAATATGATTTTTTATTTTTTAAAATTGCATACTTATAGACATATTTGAACAACATTTCTTAAGGAAAACTAAAATATGTCATTCGATACAATGACCTTGATATCAATTGTCTTGATACCAATGTGTATTTTTTGTGATAATAAGTAAGCAGTCACACAACTGACATTATGCCAGTGGTGTAACCAGAACAGCTTTACTTATTAGTTGAGAAAGAAAAAAAAGGCTGAAATATGTTAACAAGAAGCAAGAACTATGCCTCCAGCATAAAACGTTTGCTTTGTAGCGGCAACATACTTCTTATACCAGTTAAACCACATTTGATAATAAAATTTTTCGACTACGCTCAGTAGCTAACACAAGTGATGTCTGTTTTACAGTTCTTTTGCTCAATTACTGCTCTTGACTTTAATCAAATTTAAAAAAATATTTTTATTTTTTTTTTTGTATAAAAGCATTTTATTAAAAACAAAATTTAAAATAAAATAAATGAAGAAATATTTACAAAATGACGGTGACTTATAAAATAACTTAAAAATCAGATTTTCTATTTTTTTATGTAAAAAAAAAAAATAAACATGCACTTAAAAAACTACAATAAAAAAAAATAATTTACAACAAGTGAGACGCACATTCAAAAACACAAAATTTTTTCTCCCTCTCTCTCATGATCTTGAAAATTTTTTGAGTAGAGAGAAAATTTTTAAACTCTCCGAAAACAGTTTCTTTTCTTATTTTATTGTCTTTGTTTTTTTTTTTTTTTGATTTTCATCCTAAAATTCTCTTACACATTTGTTTTTTGTTTTTTTTTTTTTTATAAAAAGAAAAGACTAGTGATGATGATGATGATCTGGTACACCATATGAACCAGATGGTACTTGAATTGTTACAGCTGGTGGTCCATATGATGCTGATGGTGCATGAATTGATGGTGGAATATATGTATCTGATGGAATTGATACTGATGGTGGACCATATGAACCAGATGGTATTGATACTGATGGTGATGGTACTCCATATGATATTGATGGTGCATGTATTGGTACACCATATGTTACCGATGGTACATGATGATGATGTTCAGCTTGATGTAAATGTGCTACTTGAATTGATGGACGTATATGACCTAATTCAATACCAACAATACGTTCATCTAAATGTGGTACACCATATTGTAAATGTGGTGGTCCATATGTATCAGATATATGATGATGATGATGTGAATTACGATGTGATTGTTCTAAATTTTCATGTTGTAATAAAATCTCTTTAACTTTATGTAATAAATCTGGATCAACATATAAACCTTCATTTGTATTATGATAGCTAGAACTACCAATACCACTGCTACCTAAACCACTTGAATAATGTACCCCGCTACCAATATCATTACCAGTTATTCCAAATGAACTAATACCATGACTAATACTAGTATGAAGTCCTGAATGTGATGAATGTGATGGCCTTCTGTATCCATATCCGCCACTTAATACAGGTGGTTCAGCACTAACAATACTAATTATTGTCAAGGTTAATATCTACATTGTATGTGAATAATTTTTTTTATTTTCCAGGAAAAAAATATTGTCGTGTCAATAGTAATATATTAAGTGAGATGTTTCGTAAGGTGGAGAAAAGAAAAAGAGAAAATTATTATTTAATATTGTCAATATTTTTAAAATTCAAAAATGTGTTATTAAATTAATTAAATTATATTTTTTATTGCTTTCGGTCGTGCGTAGACCATCTCAAAAAAAAAAATTATTTGAGAAAATTAACAAGGCACTCATAACTAAAATATTAAATTTATTTTATGTAATTTTATATACCAGTTTGTAGCTTTATGCATTTGATATGTGAATTAATAAAAATGGAAGTTTTATTATTAAAAAATCGTGTGACTCGAGTGTCAAGGTGTTAAAAGATTGCAAAAGAAAGGATGTAAAATCGAAATTTATGTGAACTTTCATTTTTTCTTGAATCATTAAAAAGAAATTTTTAACTTCAAAAATTTCTTCAAAAAAGTTCAGACCAGTTGAATGACAATCAAATTAAGCATTTTCAACTCAAAAATCAAAAATCATTTAGTAAGAAATTTAAAAATTCACAACTATGGTGAGCAAGAAGAAAAATATTTTTGCACTACATTTAAATTTTTTTTTTAAAGCGTGCATGTACAAAATTTGCATTTTAATTGATGTTAATTTCATTATATTTGTAAAATACTTGAAAAATCGAAAATCCAATTT